TTCCTGTGGGGCCTGCCAGCTTCCTCTGCCTGAGGTGTGAGTGGGCACGCCACGGGTGAGGCGGGCAGGGGGGCCTGGGGGATTTTTCCAGCTCCAGGGAAGCTTTCCGGGTGGGGAGGGCTCTGAAAGAAACGGGACTTCTCAGCTGGGCTACTGTGTGTGCGCTGTCCTTGGGCGTCCCCAGGGAGTCTGTCCCTTCACCTGACGTCATTCTGACTTTTTTCTCGGTCGGTTTGGGTCTTCCTCTGCCATGGAGCGTATGTGCTAGGTCCTCTATTGAACCCTGGACACGCAGATAAATGAGCTGCTATCCAGCCCACTGATTCTTTGCCATTTCTGTCTCACTTGCTCCATCCCTTCTCTCGGTGCTTGAGACCCTCTACCTCAGCCGTGGGCAAACTACGGCCCATTTGAAATGAATAAAACTAAAAAAAAAAAAAGACCGTACCCTTTTATGTAATGATGTTTACTTTGAATTTATATTAGTTCACACAAACACTCCATCCATGCTTTTGTTCCGGCCCTCCGGTCCAGTTTAAGAACCCATTGTGGCCCTCGAGTCAAAAAGTTTGCCCACCCCTGCTCTACCTGTTCAAGACAAAATCCAAAGTCCTTACCGTGGCCTACAGGGCCCCCTGATGTTCCCTCACTGTCCCTCTAACCTCACTCTTATGACTCTTCCCCCTTGCCATAGCTGCACTGGCCACATGGAACCAACCAAGGGCCTTTGCACGCGCTATCCCCCCCAGATTTCTCCTGGCTCACCCCGCTACCGCCTTCAGTTCTTCGTGCCGTCTCCTCAGTGAGCCCTTCGCTCCCTCCCTCTTTAAATAGCAACCGCCATCGTTCTCTCTCCCTTTTCTCTGGTTTCTTATTTTTTAATCCTTACCTGAGGATATGTGTATTGATTTTAGTGAGAGAGAAACATTGATTGGTTGCCTCCTGTAGGCACCCCAATTAGGAATCGAACCCGCGACCTTTTTGGTAACGGAGCCACCCGGCTGGAGTCTGTGGCTGATATTTTTCTCCTGAGGACTTAACGCTCCACGACTGTCACATCTTCTGGGTCTGTCTGTGTCTCGCACCCGAATGCCAGGTCCATGAGGGTAGGGACTCGTCTGCTCCCGGCTGTATTCACGGCACCCACCGCAGCGCTTGTCACACCGCGGGTGCTGTATACACGTTTATTGGAGGGGACCATCTAGCTATCGGGCCTTCACACCAGCCCTGTGCTGCGCGCTGCGGGGACACAGTGGTGACCTCAGTCTTCTCAGTGAAGTCTGACTTGTCTGTCTCCACTGGGGCCAGCCTCCTACTCTGCCAGGCCACACTCTGGGTCTCTGCCTCTCTCCTCTGATACCTTGTAAGTTTCTCTCTCCTTCTGTCCCTGTCCCTCTGTGTCAGCCTCTATTCCTATGCCTCTGAGCCACCAGCCACTACAGGAGCAGAGCTGGGATATGAGAAGTGCAGGACCTGTCAGAGCCCAGAAATGGCACCTGATGCAGCCTGGGGGTCCAGGAGGGCTTCCTGGAGGAAGTATCAGCTGAGCTGAGACCTGGTCGGGGGGGAGTTGGCCAGGCCTTTTCAGGGGACCAAGGGACAAAACAGATGGAGCCTGTCCTTCACAGAGCCCCCTTCTCTCCCCGTCTCACAGAACTCTCCAGTTCAAACCTGCTCCTTCTCGGTTTCACAGTGTCTCTCTCATTCGCTCTTTATTCCTCTCTCTGAACCTCTGTCTTTCTCCCTCCTTCTATCTCTATGGTGTACCAGGATAGTTCTCTGCTCCTGGGAATATCCATGTATCTGGATCTTCCTCTCCTTTTTTCTGAATGTCTGTTTCTGCCTCATCTCCTCCATCTCAGGGGGTCTCTTGAGCTCTCCCTGGCCCTCTAGGCTTGCCTTTTCTTCCATTGAGCTGCTCCCTGCATCTCGCTACCACCTGTTGTCTCCCATTTCCCCCTAGGTCTCTTTTGTGTTTCTGTCTTTCTTTTTAGGAGCTTGGTCGCCTCCTCACTGATCCCCAAATACATCCAGAACCCCTTCACCCTGGACCCACCCTGGTGCTGGGGGGAGGGGGACTGATCCAGCCCCTCACACCCACACAGGTCAGGTCCTCTGCTCTGTTAATGGTTAACCCAACCTCTATCTAGAATACACACACCGACCAGGCTGGGGGTGACTCCCCTGCCCCCCACCCACCCACCAGCTGTTCTTAAAGGACCAGGTGTCCTCCACAGCTCTTTGGCCCCCATTGAGAAGGAGGGCCCTGGTGTTGGGAGGCCTCTAGCCCTGAGGATGGGGGAGGGGGAGCGACCCAGTGCTTGGGGCTGCAGAGCTGTGTCTGGGGAGGCCCCAAGATTGCCCGGGACGGGTGCACAGGCAGGGGACTCCATCCAGTCTCACTTGCCCCAGGCTTATCGCCTGGTGTTATTTAACCAGGGGTGGTTTTCCCAGCCCTGCCCAGAGCCCAGGCTGGCAGTGCCAGGGGTGACTGAACACCTGAGACCTGCTGGCTTGGGGGAGGGGGTGGGAACCCTCAGTCCAAGAACTGGGGGTTTAAGAACTCAAGATGGGGACAAACCGCACCCCCTACCCACCGCCCTAATATCTGGAGGTGGGGGCATGTGGTCTGAAGAGGTGTGGGTGGGACCCCTGGGTGACCCAGGTCAGAATGTTAGGATCTTCCCGATTGAGTGACTAACACCTGGCCTCCTGAGCTCGGGGCAACCATGGGTCCCAGAGGTGTAAGACAGGGCTGCTCAGGGGCAGAACTACCATCCCCCATCAGTCCATCCCCTAGCCTTTGTGCCCGGCATTCATTCCCCCTCCCCTCCCCGGAATTGTCACTCCAGGTCACAGGGGAGGCCGCTGGGGTGGGGGCTGGGCTTCTGGGGCTGCCCCTTCCCCTTAACCCCTGCTTGGCCACAGCCTGCTCAGGCCCCGCCCCCTGACGTCAGCGAGCAGGAAGTCCTGGTTAATGATCAGCCCACCTGGACAGGTGCAGGACAAGGCCCGGCACATCAGAGGCGGCCGCGGGGGGAGTGCTTTTCACCCTGCCAGTCAGGGTGCTGGGATGGCCTCCCCAGATGCACACGAGGAACCAGTTCAGGTTGCCCGAGCACCTCCCTCTTGCGCGCTTGGGCCCCACGAGGCCAGAAGCAGCCAAGGACCCTGTGAATGTGACCACAGCAGTCAGCCTCCTTCCCCGGGAAGTCCCTCTAGCAACCTCCCCTAATTCTGACTCCCTGGCAGGCCTCGCTACCCACCCCCCTAAAGCCTCCTGCTGCACCTTTCCCTCCCCTCATGGGCGGAGTCCTCCTCCCCACATTCTGGGTCCATACAGGGGAAGGACCAGAAAAGAAACCTAATTCCCAAGCGTGGCTATGGCTCCCGTGCAACAGCCATCTCCTCTGAGCCTGTCCTGTCACCTGAAAAGCAGGCGATGGCTAGACCGGTTGACCAGCCGCCAGCATTGGCCAAGATCGCCAGCGGGCCTGCCTGGGTGGAGAGCGACACCTGGAGGACACACTGAACATCCTCTCCCTGCAGGACCAGCTCCGTCCCGCAGAGGGCGCAGCAGCTCACAAACTAAGGGACCAAGAAGGAAAAAACCCATTTTTCGGTTTATTGAAGGAGGAAAGGGGGCAGGAGAGGGGAGCAATAAAATGCTTTTGCTTCATTTATAAAGAGCGACATTTCCAGGAGGCCCTTCTCAAGGAGGAGGAGGGGGCCACCTCTTCCCCAACTACGAGCAGCAGCAAAGCTAAGCCAAGGAGGGGAGAGGGAAATCGGAGGGGCCAAGGGACCCCAAACACCCCCCTCAGACAGAAGCCACGAGCTTTCTCCCCCCACCCTCAATGCGTCTACCCCAGGGACCCCTCTGGGACGAGGAAGGGAGTATATACACAGTGGGGGTGGCACTGGGCTGGGGGAGGGAGGGAATAATTTATCCGCAGCAGCGGTGGGCGGCAAGGGGACGGGGCAGTAGACTGGTGGCAGTGGTGGCCTAGGGGTCCCGTTCTTTCTTAACCTTGATGTCTCCAGCGAGGATGGTGGCGATCTCGCCCTGCATGAAGGCCCAGGGGACAGAGGAGCCCACCAGCGGGCACTTGTCTCCGCTGGGGCAGTACACCTCACCGGCAGGGCCCTGCGCCTTGATGAACTCTCTGGAGCAGGGAAAGCAGAACTTGTGTCCGGGCACTGAGGGGCACTGGACGAAGTGGGTGTCTTCCAGCCGCTCCCGGCAGAGGGTACAGCACAGGGGGGCTCCAGGGGTCGCCCCAGTGCCGCTACCACCCCCGCTAACAGCCTCTGCCCCGGCGGTCGGGCTGACTTCGGCATCACCATTTCGGGCCACTAGGCGATGCTGGGCTACCGGCTGGGCTGTGGAGGAGGCCGCTGGGCTGGCACCCCCTGCACGCCCAGGGCCCCCACCCCCACTGGGGTCCTTGGGGGAGTGGCCCAGAGCTTCAGCCACGTTCTTCAGGGCAGCGATGGGCGAGGGCATCCCCGGGGTCTCGGCAGAGAATGGACCACCCGGGGCTACCCAGTGTCGCTGCTGCTGCTGCTGCTGCTCCTCTGTGGTCATC